GTCCACTGCTGTGGTTGTGCACTGGGGTTGCAACTCGAGTTGGGTTTTACGAAAGGCAAGAACCTGAAGTTCGCTGGGATCCGAACTTGGCGAAACGTCGTGGGAGAGACACAGCTGTCTCTCAAACTTGCCTTTCCATCCTTTCTTGAAGTTCGGATCCCGACGGACTTCGCATTTTCACAGGTCCACTGTTGTGGTTGTGCACTGGGGTTGCAACTCGAGTTGGGTCTTATGAAAGGCAAGAACCTGAAGTTCGTCGGGATCCGTACTTGGCAAAATGTCGTGGGAGAGAAATTGTTGTCTATCAAACTCGCCTTTCCATTCTTTCTTGAAATTCGAATTCCAGCGGACTTCACATTTTCACAGGTCCACCGCTGTGGTTGCCCGTTGGGGTGGCAATGCGTGTTGGGTCTTACGGAAGGCGTGAACCGGGGGTCCACCGGGATCCGAGGTTGGCGAGATTACGTGGGAGAGACACAAATGTCTATCAAACTCACCTTCCTGTGCTTTCTTGAAGTTCGGATCCCGGCAGACTTCACATTTTCACAGGTCCCCCGCTGTCGTGTGGTGGCTGCACAACGTTCGTCGTTGGATGACCAACAAGTTTCGATGATCGACGAGGTTTGCTGTCAAGTGGCGTTCGATGTCCGCCAACATCTCGATGCCCACTGAGGTTTGATGGGGCGCCAGGTTCGATGCCAAACAAGGTTCGATGGCCGACAAGGTTCGATGGCCAACAAGGTTCGATGTGCAACAAGGTTGACACAAACTGTTTTTTTGTCCATTCCCGAACAGGGATCGACCTTTTTCATGGGTTTCTACCGTGTGGTGGACCAATTGCCTTGCGTGGTGCGTACGACCAATGGACGAGGAGGCAGGTCAAATGCAGTGCAATCGGGGCGAGAAAAGTGAACCGCTCGGCTGGCATGTCGGTGCACTGGTCGGTGAGCGGCCGATCAATCAGCGAATTGGCCAACCACAAACCGAAAAGTCGATCAATCAACTAATCAGTCACTCGTGCCAACACTCTCCTGTCAACCAGTTTGCTGGATCGGTGGTTCGCCTGCCGGTTGGGTGATCGCGCAGAGGGTGATGCCTCGATTGCAACGCAAGCACACGTTCGGCTGTATGGTTGGTGGACTATTGGATCAACCGGTCGTCCGACCGCAGTCCGAACAGTCGTCCAGTGATGTTGGTCGTGGTGGATATATTGACCAGTCTACTGTTCGGTCGGGGTACATCAATGAGTGTGATGGATCGGTCGCTCGCTGCCCGGTTGGTCGTTCGCGCACAGTGCCACGTGTGTTTTGATGTTACATTTGATACTAGCGAAAAACACACACGCTGTGACAACGTTGAGACAGCACACGCGATCAATCGACCGATCGCGAGCTCTTTGTTCGTGTTCGGCGATTGGTCGACTGGGTGCGTCTACTGTCCCGACAATGTCACCTCCTGCTTTGATTGATCATCCATTCGGCAGATCAGCAGCAGTATCGTGATCAATCGTGATGGTCCTTTTCATCACTCACGTGCGGTATCGCCGACGTCACCACTCACGTGTGGATGATTGATCTGATGAGTTGAGAAAGATCCGATCTGCCGCGCGGTTATTATGTTTCGTGATCGGTCGCCTCGCGCTCAATCGAAGCTTTCATCATGCATCAGTTAATCAGTTCATGAGAACTGCCCAGTGGATGGCCGATCGAAACACGCGGTGACAATGTCGAGAGTAATCTGATCGTGTTCCGCGATTGGTCGATCGGTCAAGTGCTTATACACTCTTCATTGCAATGTTCTTGTCTGTTGTGTTCATCAGTGAAACGGAAACAGAGATATGATTGATAGTCTAGACTGCATATAATCAAGGAATATTACCTATCTTGTGCTCTGGACTGTCTATAATCAATAATGAATACTATCAAATCAATGAATGTTGTCTATCTACCCATCTATTGTATCTCTGTCGCCGCGTGTTTCGATTAATCATCCTTTGGGAAGGTCGACGGCTACTACGTTGGGACAGCAAACAGGAACAATGGATTGTGGTCAGTGGTCAGGATGTGATGAACTGATGAATGCCGATATCTCCGATCGAACGCGCTGTGCCCAGTCACGAAACATAATCACCCCGCGCTCGATCGGATGTTTCTCC